TGACCAAAACTAAATCAAAATTTGGTGTCAAAATTAACACCGTATGCTAGCATGTAAACAATATGATTCTCTGGCTAGAGTGCATGTGGGCGAGGTCTAATGCACCCGTGCACGTTTTCTTGAGGGCATGCTCACCAATGCCCAGGACCTGGTAGAGATTTCGGTCTTGTGCAGTGTTACATTAATACAGTTTCTCGACTCAGAGATGAGCTTTCACTTTCTGCAGTAAAATTAAAAAAGAGTTCCTCTTAACCGTGGTGTCCCGTGTCAATACACACTGTGCATTCCATAGTTTTTGCATTAGGATGGGCGCGAGGCATTTTGATTATATGGTTATGGTTCCTTTGTATCTCCATGTTGTCTGTGTTTCCTGTTTGCTGGCGTTTGGATGAATTTTGGTTTTACTCTAAATAAATCTTTTTTTTCTTTCCAAAATAATTTTTATTGAAGTAAAAGGCATTTTGGATCATAGGCAGATACGGAACACAGTCCACAAACATACAACTGATTTAATCTCCCGTGTTGCAGACGGGTAATCAGACATGCATTTGAAGTATACATTAAACAGAAACAAGAGATCACGCTACCCAGTAAACGAAGTATAACAACAGATTAGAGAATATGGATGGTAAGCGATATAAGTGTAGAGGATGTAAATGTAAGGGGTAGAAATCGCTCAGACAATCGGGCAGTGTAACAAAAGACAGCACTAACGTCTAAAGCGCACACATCGTGTGATTCCGTATCCGGTTAAGATAAGTTTCTTCTTGTGTTTAGAAATAGTTGTATAAGAGAAGAATGTGAGACAAAACGAGAGAAAAAAGAGAAAAAGAGAGAAGAATGCTGTATATGGAGGAAGATTTAGAAAGCATAAAGGGGAGTGAGAAAAAAGAAAAAAAAAAAAAAAAAAAGGGGGGGGCGGGGGGAGGGGGGAAGGAGAGGTGAGGGGTGGGTCAAGTAATAGGTAATGGATATTAACCAATCATAATGTATTATAGTAGACAAGCTAACATGTATTATCCTTATGACTTAACATATACTCCGATTGGTCTCAGTCCGCGTCTCTATTCCGGAGGCGTTAGCTTTGAATGGTATTCACGACCCTTAGACTCGTTTTAGTTATTCATACAGAGATTATAGAAATTGGTGGTTTGGAAGTGTTTCCAACAAGCCAAAGTTTTCCGAAATCTCTCGGGGTGGTCCCTTGTCACTGAAATCAATTCCTCCATCTCCGCAATCCTGATGACCCTATGAAACCACTCTCGCACAGTAGGAATCTGTTCTGATCGCCAATGCATTGTTTCGCCTCATTTGTCATATGTAGGGTAAGAGACTTACGATACATCCTTAAAGGAATTGAGGAGTGGTGAAGTAAAAATTGAGCTGGGGTGAATTCCAGGGTGTAGGTGGTCACTTGTGAGACTATATCTTGCACTTTTTCCCAAAAAGGCTGCAACCGGGGACAGTCCCACCAGATATGTAGGAGTGTGCCTGTTGCCTGTCGACATCTCCAGCACAACTCTGAAATGTTAGGATCAAATTTATGTAGCAGGGACGGAACTCTGTACCATCTCGAATATAATTTGTAATTACTTTCCTGCGTGGAGACACATGTAGAGCCCGAATGTATGTGGTCATAAATGTGATCCCAGTCTTCAGTTGACAAAGGTATTTGTAAATCTCGCACCCAAGCCTCACACGCCTTCCGAGGCTGAGATATACTGGTAGTTTCAAGAAGGGAGTAAAGCTTGGATATAACATGTCTCTGGGGAGAGTTCGAGAAGCAAAGTTTCTCATATGGAGTAAGTGACCTGGAATAGTCTTGTAAATGCGAGGAGTTACGTGTAAAGTGATGAATTTGTCTATATATCCACGGTGTTAGGTTCAGGGATGGCCACAACTTCAAAATGTCCTCTCTAGATAAGAACTTAGTATTTTTCAAAAATTGATGCATTGTCAGGTTGTCTGGAAGGTCATATCCAGAGAGGAAAGCCCGGGACATACCCGGCAAAAAGTCAGGGTTCTTTTTGATTAGGGTTAAGGGGCCCGGGGAGGAAGAAATCTCAGTTCTCTGGAATAGCTGTCGGCAACAGCCTAATGTGGGGCCTACAAGAGGGTGATCCCGAAATTCAGATGGAATATGAGCATTTCCCAGCCAAGGGGAGGAGGCAAGCGAAATCATCAAAAAATCAGACTCCACATCAACCCAAATCTTACGATTATAGTTCGAGATCCAATCTACTACTCTTGCTAATTGACACGCCCTGTAGTACCGTGTAATGTCAGGTAGTCCAATACCTCCACCTCTCTTAGGCATGGTAAGTTGTACAAAGCTAATTCTGGGGTGTTTGTTATGCCAAAGAAAGGAGGAGCAGAGCTTTTTATAAGATGTAAAGAAAGAACTCAGTAATGCAATCGGTATTGTTTGTAGTAGATACAGTATTCTTGGAAGCACATTCATTTTGAGAATGGCTGCTCTACCAAACCAGGAAAACCAAGGTTTGTTCCAAGTCTGGAGGTCTTTGGAAATAGTACGCAAGAGGGGTAGGAAATTCAAATCATAGAGTTCCTTTAGATTAGTTGGTAATTGGATTCCCAAGTATGTAATTGCCTCCGACTGCCAGGCAAAAGGGAAGTTCGATTTAGCTTGCCTAATCACCTCCTGGTGTAGAGAAACATTAAGAGCTTGGGATTTAGAGAAATTTATTTTGAAGTTGGCCAGATATTGAAACGATTCAAAATCGTTTAGCAGATTAGGTAAAGTGATATGGGGATCTGTTAGAAAAAGCAAGATGTCATCTGCAAAGGCCGCTATCTTATGAATTTTGCCATTAATCTGGATTCCCTTGATATTATCATTTTGTTTGATGCAAATCAACAGGGGTTCCAGTGTTAGAATAAAAAGGAGGGGGGATAGTGGGCATCCCTGTCTGGTGCCAATGCCTATCGAAAAAGAGTCCGAAAGTAGACCGTTAACTCGCACTTTAGCTGTGGGAGATGTATACAAAGACATGATGAATGTACGAAAACGCTGAGGTAATCCAAGGCCAAGCAAAAACCGCCTCCATATAATCCCACGCTAGCCTATCAAAGGCCTTCTCGGCATCTAATGATAAGAAAAAGCCTGATTGTTGCTTTTGAGTTAACCAATGATGAACGTTTATGGCCCGTATAGTGTTGTCTCTGGCCTCTCTCCCAGGCACAAAGCCCACCTGGTCCGTGGATACAATGGGATCTATAATATGTAATAGGCGATTGGCCAAAATTTTTGCAAAGATCTTTAAATCAACATTCAATAAAGAGATCGGACGGTAATTCGCTGGTGAGGTGTGGTCTTTATCCTCTTTTGGAATAACCGTAATATGTGCCTCAGAAAGATGGCGCAAGGACTGCCCCGGTGTATCTAAAGTATTAAAGGCCCGTAAAAATGGTTGTGCCAGTATGTCGTGGAAAGTCTTATAATAGGCAGTGACAAATCCATCGGGACCTGGGCTTTTACCAGGTTTCAATTGTGTAATAGCTTGTTGTAATTCCGTCAGGGTCAGAACTCCATCTAAGTCTTTCGCTTGTGATCTAGAAATAGGGTTTGGGAGATATTGGTTCAGGAAAGTCTGGATAATTGTCTTACGTGACCTAGTGTCACCTGGTGGTTTAGACGGTACAGGTAAATTGTATAAAGCGGAATAATAGTTTTCAAATGCAGCTGCAATATTCTTTGACGTTTTCAATAAGCGTCCCTGCTTAGAAGTAAGCTGGTATATGTGTCGAGCTGCCTTTTTGGCTTGTAAGGCCCGGGCTAGAAACTTGCCACTCTTATTTCCATGTTCATAAAAAAAATTTTTGTTGAAGAATAAAGCTACATTTGGCTTTTTTGTCCACAACATCTAGAAGTTGTTTTCGCACTTGATCTAGTTCAGATGCAGAATTCAAAGCTCTAGAGCGTTTATGTGTGCATTCAAGTGTACAAACTTTTTGCAATAGGGAGGCAAAAGATGCTTGAGCTAGACGTTTTCGCGAGGCGGATATAGACATGAAAAGCCCACGGGTTACACATTTGTGTGCTTCCCACTGTATGAGAGGGGTCGTTTCTGGAGATATGTTTTCTTTGAAGTAATTGGTCAAAGAATCACGGATCTGGAGGGTAACAGAGGAGTCTGTAAGAAGGAAGGGATCTAATCTCCACGTTTTGGACGCGACTGGTGTATCAGGGAATTGTAAGGTCATCATAATTGGATGGTGGTCAGATAGGATCATTGGTTCGATCGAAGCAGATTTCAGGTTATGTAAATCTTTCTGAGAAAGAAAAAAATAATCAATTCTAGAATGTCGCTTATGTGGTGCGGAGTAAAACGTGTAGTCTTTGTCTTTAGGGTGGAGGGTGCGCCAGGTATCATGTAGGAGAAGATCATGTAGCTCGAGTTTAATCTGTCTGAGTGCTTTGAAGGGTTTAGAGGAGAAACTGGTGGAAGTATCCTCCAATGGGTTCAAAGCTACATTAACCACTTGCCTATTAGGCACTTATACCCCCTTATTTACCAGGCCAATTTTCAGCTTTCAGCGCTGCCGCACTTTGATTGACAATTGCGCGGTCATGCAACATTGTACCCATATGAAATTTTGATCATTTTTTTTCTCACAAATAGAGCTTTCTTTTGGTGGTATTTAATTGCCACTGGGCGCTTTACTTTTTGCGCTATAAATAAAAAAAAGTGCAAAAAATTTGAAAAAAAAAAAAAGTTTCTTTGTTTCTATTATAAAATTTTTCAAACAGGTATTTTTTCTCCTTCACTGATGTACGTTGATGAGGCAGCACTGATGGGCACTGATAGGCGGCACTGATGGGCACTGATAGGCAGCACTAAAGGGCACTGATAGGCAGTACTAATGAGGTGGTACGGATAGGCGGCACTGATAGACAGCACTAATGAGGTGTCACGGATAGGCGGCACTAATATGCAGTACTGATAAGCGGCACTGATAGGTGACACTGATGATGGGTACTGAAAGACGGCACTGACTGGCATCACTGCTGGGCACTGACTGGCGGCACTGACTGGCACAACCCCTGGGCACTGACTGGTGGCACTGACTGGCAGCACTGCTGGGCGGCACTGGTGGGTGGCACTGGTGGGCAGCACTGGTGGGTGGGCACAGGTGGGTGGCACTGGTGGGCACAGGTGGGAGGGCACAGGTGGGTGGCACTGCTGGGCACAGGTAGGTGGCACTTCTGGGCACAGGTGTGTGACACTGCAGAGTGGCACAGGTAGGTGCACTGCTGGGCACAGGTGGGTGATCTGCTGGGCACAGGTGGGCGGAGCTAGTGGGCGCACTGCTGGGCACAGGTGGGCGGAACTTGCGGGTGGCACTGCTGGGCACCGATCATTAGGGCACTGATCATCAGTGCCCTGATGATCGGTGCCGATCCCCGCTCTGACAACTGCCGGTTCTCGGCAGTACTTTCCTCACGATCTGACAGCGTGAGGAAAGTGCAGCTGAGAACCGGCACTTGCATTTCCCTCTGATCAGCGTGTCATTGGACACCGCTGATCACGTGGTAAAAGGCCGCTGTGATCGGCCTTTTACCACATTACGTGATCAGCTGTGTCCGTAGGACACAGCGATCACGGAGATCGCCGCCGGGTGCGCGCCCCCTGGGGCGCGCAGGAGAGCGCGTTCTGGGAGGCCGTCATATGACGTCCACTCAGAACTGGCCGGCCGCAGTTTAGCCGTCATTCGGCTATCTGCGGTCGGCAACTAGTTAAAGTCGCCTCCAAGAATCAGAATACCTGATTGAAATGTAGCAAGTAATTTGGCGATTTTGTGAAAAAAGCATACTTGTGCAGTATTGGGGCTGTAAATATTAGCTAAAGTAAGTGGCTTATTATAGAGGGTGCCCTTGAGAAAAAGGAACCTCCCCTCAGGGTCCTCAAGAGATTCAGTGATTGTAAACGGGAGCTGTTTAGAGAGTAGAATAGATACACCTTTTGCTTTCACCTCCGTGTTGACTGCATGATATACCTTTGGAAAGTTAGCGTCCGAAAATCTAGGTATGTGGTCTGCTCGAAAGTGAGTCTCTTGGACAAAGAGCACGTGCTGCTCTAAGGTTTTTCATATATGTTAGAAGTTGCAAGCGTTTCTCGGGTATATTTAAGCCCTTTGCGTTGAGCGAGGCCACAGAGAGTTTGGGGACTGAACGTGCAAATGGGTGGTTAATAGCCATTATTTTGTATGCCAAAAATACCTATTCGAAACCTCTTGGTGTGTCAAATGGTTGTAAGTAAGGTGAGAGAGAGAAAAAAAAAAGGGGTGGGGGGTAGGTGTGGGGGGGTGAAAGGGGGAATTAAGAGGAAGTACTAGAATAAAGTCGTGTCAAGATAGGAATACAGATAATAGATATGTAGGAGAAGAATAGAGGAGAAGAAGGAAGAAGTGTCAGGCATGTCACATAGAAACCCATATATATATATAGCATTCATATGTTCCTTCAACTTCTTTTATATATAGGACTCCAGAGAAGATGTAGGCCAGCTACTCTATCTCTCAATAAAGCTCTAGTAAATTGTAAAGCTGTGTACTAGAATAGGAAATTACACTTGGGATGTGCCGAACACAGAGACGGCCGTATTGTGAACGTGTAATATACTCGTGAGAAGGTTATATGTCCTCAAACGAGAGGTATACAAAGGACTTTGACCAACATAAGATGGCCTTGACACACAGAGATACGTGGGAAGCAGCCAAAGTGTTTCGAAGGTAGAAGGGAAAGGGAGGTGGATAGCAAATAATATATGTAAAGATTTAAAGCTATATAAGCTAAAGCAGTGCGGATGAGCGGATGAGCACAAGGGCCAATGGCAGCCTTTACAGGCGCGGATACACAATGAGGAATATGTAAGAGGTAAGTCTTGAAGGAGAGTTCCTATGTGGTGGATTGTATGTACGTTGATGTGGATAGAAACTAAAAATTGTGCTAATCAATAAAATGAAGCATCCTCATACCTCGTAACATAGTAAACAAGCACAGGTTCGATCTTTATATAGTAAGTAAACAGACAATTCCTATCATTAACTATGAACCATTTATATCGAACAATCGTATCACCATACGAAGATCATCTTTAACTGTATCAGTTTCAAGGAAGAACACCAACTGTATGTAAAACACTGTAGGGATACAACAATAATATAACATTTAAGTGTTCCGGGATGTAGGCCATAGGCCATCCATTCCGTGTAACCGATATTCAAATAACCTTGTAGATGCAAATCCTAACCGAGGGAACCTGCGTTATTTAGCATGTTACTGCTTACAAGTGTGGAGTTTTCTTACTTTTACCAACCATGAGTGGCTTATTGAAAGGAAGGTATTTAAAATCCATGGCCCAATGTGAGCACTGGTCAAATTCAATGATAGCATATGTCACACTTTAACACCCTAAGGCGCACCATGGACGTGAACAACAACATGGAGGGCCCTTATCTTATAGCTGAGACACCGAGACACTACCTAGTCCTAGAATAGGTTGGGGGTATATAACTAGCCTGATACTTTTATTCATGTGAAGGAGATCGGAGTATCATTTGGGAGAGCCCATAATTGTAGGGGAAGTGAAGGATATGCATACGCATCAAATTAGTGCAATGTCTACTCAATACCGATCGACACATAAATATATATATGCATATATATATATATAGGAGCTCAATCATGGACACATAGGGACATAAGCGCCACAAGTAGAGAACCCTATGGGACAATCCAGTACTGGCCTATTCCGGGAGGCATTAAGGACCCGTTACACATCTTAAGTATGAAGCGACCATGTGGGATTATTTCCATAGTGTCACATTGTGTAGCTAATAAAAAGGGAATGTAAAAGCTAATTCCAAGATATCTCAGGGATTATAAAATATGTAATCTTCCGGGAAAAAAGGCATTGATTACGTAAATCATTGATAGTAAGACGCTATAAACACGGTCATATAGAGCTCTTATCCAGGTGTGTGTTTTGTTCAAAATACAGCGGAAATCAGGGCATCAGGCTTAGGTCAAGCATAGGGGTTTAGTCAATGTCACCAGAGCTCAGGCTGGTCTACATATCGGTTTTCCATGAGGACTAGAAAGTTGATACAATGGGCCGTTGCTGATTAAGCGAAAGCGCTCTAGTACCAGCAAGGGTATTCCCAATATCTCCATTAGCCACGTTATCCTATAACCCCTCCAAAACTCATAGCAGAATACCCTCATCAAGTAAATATAACTACACTTAAGACATATGACTGGTGGATAGTGTACAAAGAAAATATGACCATTTGATATGCTTAACATACCCAAATGTCCATTTTCCAGGATCACAGGTGGTTTCATGATGGACTGTATATAAGGACCATGGGTTTTATTTCTCATTCCTTTCTCCTTTTGTAAACTTATTCAGACCTAGTGTAAAGAGGCCTCAGGTTGAGAAGCTGTTTCTGCGCCTGTGTGTAGAAAGGGGGCAGTGAAGTAGAGTCATTCGTGACGTGCTTTACGATGTACAGGGGATGCTGGTAAACTGTCATCAGTAATGAGCCGTCGTCGTACAGGGGAGGTTGAGGTGTGACGGGGGGTTCTGCGTCTTCTGTCTCTGCCAGGGTAGGCAGAGAGTTGCGTATCCATAAGGTCTTCAGCTGATCGTGAGAGGGGGAGAGATTCAATAGACCAGTTGGGTATATCCAGTAGTGGGATATTCAGAGATTCACAGAACAGTGTAAGATCCTCTGGAAATCTCATGAGAGCTGATTTCCCCAAATGTGCTGCCGCGAGGCCAAACGGGAACTTCCAGCGATAAGCTATTCCCTTGGAGCGAAGCAGATCGAGCAGAGGACGTAGGTCTTTCCTACGTTGCAAAGTGAGGTGGGAGAGATCTTGAAATAATTTGATTTCCGTTTCATGATAATGCAAGTGGTGTTTGTCTCGAGCTCTGCGTAATATTTCTTCCTTGAGCCGGAAATCAACTAGACAGCAAATTATATCTCTCGGTGGGTCGGTGTCTTTACCTCTCGGGCGTAGTGCCCTATGTAGGATTTCAATTGGAGATTCAGGTGGCCTTTCCAAGAGATCGTTAAAAATGGTTAAAAGCGCCTGGGTAAGCTGGGCAGATTCGATTGCCTCAGGGACACCACGCACCCTTAAATTATGCCATCTTCCCCTGTTGTCCAGGTCTTCAATGTGACGGTCAAGCTCTCTCAAATGTAAAGTGTGCGTGTCAACCTGTTTGCGCATCTCAGAAATGGCTCGATCTTGTGTGTTAACTTTATCTTCTACTGCGTCAAGCCTGTTAGCTACTGCTTGCATATCGATATGTAACTCGGCTATAGCTGTAGAAAGAGTCCCTTTAATATCTGATGCAACCGCTTTCAAATCCCCTAAGGTGAGAGGGGAGGTTTCAGGGTGTCCTGTTGTGTTAGCCGTTGGCTGATTCAGATACTGTGGACGAATTTCCATAAGAGGCGAGTGTAGGGGAGATTCATGGGAAGAGGCTTCCGTGTGATCTGGAGTTTGCGACTGTAATAATTCCGGAATGCTGCGATTTGCCGGACCATTCGGACGCCGAGGGGATCGTGAGCGAGGAGTATTAGACTTCTTATCTGATTTCCCCATGTTTACAGCTACTCTCTGTGTTATGAATGCGTAATCCCACCTCTGTGTGACAAGGATCAAGATATTATGTAGACATTTTCAAGGGGCGCCAGCTGGGACCCCCAGAATTAACGAGAAAGAGAAAAGAGAGTAAGTATTCCTGAACAAATCAGGAATCGTAGTATATACCTCAGCAAATTTGAGAGGAAGAGCAGTGTTCAGCACTGTTGGATCTGTAGATCTTTGGCTTCTGCAGAGTATTGGGGATCCATATGAGTGCAGGGATTTCCTCTGCTTTCCCTTGTAAACCTTTGTAGGAATGTCTGCTGCTTCGGGCCTAGCTGTCAGACAGATCCTAGTGGGGGGTGTATAGGCCCTTACTATAGGCCGACGTTCTCTGGGCTCTTGGGGGGGGTGCCCCGATGGGTAAGGGAGAAGTGCCCCCTTATTTATGTGGGGAGTAGCTGAGGACTTGTGGTCCTTTTTCACGCTGGGTGTCTCACTCACCCGGCCTGTACATGTGCGTGCGGCCGCGGTCTCGCCGGGCCGCGACAAGCCCCACCGCTCCGCCGCTTCAGACGGGGAGCAGCCGACACTCCCAACGTGGATGGAGGAATCCAGCCACCACCAGTCCGGATGAAGGAGGGGGAGAGGTATGATCGGCAACCCCCTCCTTGCGACCACACCGCTTTCTTCCTGCCGGGCAGGCGCTAGCCGGGTAGTCTCGCGGTTGTGCTCGGCCGCGACCGGCCACGCTGGATTGCCGCCGCGGATCCGGGCCAGCAACCTCCAGACCCGCTCAATGTCCTCTCCGGAAGACACAGCAGGGTCTCTCACGTGATCGCGCTAGCTGCTATCCCTCGGATGGTGGCGGATGCGGAGCAGGCCGAC